TTGATACAAAAAAAAGGTATGCAGTGGTTGTAGGTAGCCTGCAACCTGCAAACAATATTGATTGAAGTTTAATTTCAAATATTCCCTGCAAGCATTTGTGTTAAATTCACAAACAGATCTGCAATTGTAGGAACAGTGTTTGGACATTTTGACACATTAACTGCTCGTTATTCAAATTAATTTAACTCTTTTTGTGAAGACTTCTGTGATGCGTGAAAGTATTCCAAACTAATCAAAAATATTATACTTGAAGTTCATTTTCACTTCAGCAATAAATCCACTCAGTGTTTAAATAGTTTGGCAATGTGAGAAATAGGTTATGTCCCTTATTCATAGAGTTGGAATGAAATTAACAATACTCTCTGAAGCCCAGAGCTTAACGATGCACAAAGTCCAGGCCTTGCCGCGTTTTTTGATGATTATCTTACAATAGCTAAAGTTTTTTTCATACAGATTTAACAACAAGAGATAACATGTTTAACATGAGCGAGCATTAAAAGGCTGCTGAATGGATTTAGTTACCTTTAGAAAGAGTAGCACAGAGTACTCTCTCACTCCAACTCAAACATAAACTTACAGCTGTTAGTTATGGCACATCTGAGAACCTGTCAAAACCTTTTCAAAATGGTGAACAAGCACATTATTACAAATTGCTGAGCTTTTCATGTGAGGCAGTGTGAGAGACAGAGACAAAAGTGAGAGGTTACATATTTTTAAGCAAACATCTGCCTCTCCAAAGCTCTAGAGCAACATTTGTCAGTTATGAAACTGGTGGGCGTGTAGGCAGCTCATCCCTGCGTACAGGGAATTAAGTAAGGAATGAAGACAGTTTTCTTTGACCCATCCCCCGAGCTATCAAATCTGTCTCTACCTGTCCTCAGCGATCATGCCGCTCTACGGGTAGCAGTCATAATCTTAGAGCCAGCCTAACAGTAAACCAAAACACAGGAGCATTGTTGCAAGGGAAATAATCCAGAGCAACGCCTACTGTAAATGCTGTAGCAAATACAGAGTGCCACACACCTGTAATAGCAGTTTTTCTTCTCTATAAATGACTGTTCTGGGAAACAAAACCATGGGAGAAAAATGTGCATTCCCTCACCCGTAAATTATAATACTTTGAGGACATAGGAATCTATAAATCCTTTCCACAACACAATGTAGTAATTGTTTGGCACAGGAATTAAAGCAAGAAGAAATGCTTTTGGGAAGTAGGGGGTTTTTTTGTGTGTGATTTGCTTTCTTTAGACAGTACAGCTCACACAAAAACAAACGTACAAATAGAAAAGCCCATGCAAAAACCACATTGTGCAATGGTCTATCTACAATAACTATCTACAGAATTGTATTTAGAGGAAAATTGATTATTTCAGTAGTGTTGGTGGTTATTACTCTAAGTTACAGTGCAGCTATGCTGCAGGTTATCTGACTTCAATACACAAATCCAGGAAAAGCACATTCATGTGAAGCCTAATCTTTCCAATCTACTTACAGCACATTCGGATAGCCCTGAAACTAAACATAACTTCAGAGAAACAAACAACTGGAAGTTGTAGGGTATGAGTATGTTCACGCACACAGCTGTGTTTTCTGGTCGGGCTGACGTGTTAAGGCCAATTATGTAATACGGACTACAAATGAATGCAATGCTAAAAAAAAAACAAAACAAAACATTTTCAAGGCTGTAAAATGTCTGTAACTTTGACAGCAACAGATTGTGTTTTGATAGGGTCACTATAACAGGATGACGTCAGATAAGGGGACTCAAGGTCTCAAGAGTTCAACGTGTTCTGTCACAGTCTAGTTAAAAAGAAGCAGTAGCCAGAAGTTGTGGACTCTCCCCGTGCGTGTATGTGTGTGTGTGTGTTTTTAAAGGCTTGCACATTCACAGTAATCTTTACTTATTAACTTAAAACAAAAACAAACACCTTCCATGCAGACAATTTGTCCGTGCTGGTTTTGCACAGATGACAGGTGACAGGTAGCTCAGGGTTAAGCACAGCACAGGCGACAGTCCGGCTGCATCTACAAGTGCGCCCGCACACTGACTGACCCCACCCACCGAAGCGAAGTGGCAGAAACTGTTTGTTTGTCAACAGTCACGGAGGTCCTTTATAATCATTCCTTGCCCTCACATGCAGTGCTGGGAAAAGGTATTTTCCCGCCTTCTGGTTTTTTGCATATATGTCCTATTTACGTGTTTCAGATCATAGAACTAATTTCTGTATTAGACAAAGACAACCTGAGTACACCCAAAATGTGAAACTAAAAAATTTAGAAAGATTCGATTTATTAAACTTTGAAGTTTAAATAATTAAAACTAGCTAAAGTGACCTAGCCCCTTGTTAAATCATGGATTAACTGCTGTTAAAAGAAATCTTTTGAAAAGCTGAGCTCAGTTTTTCTGGCCACGCCCAGGCCTGATTACAGACAGACTTGCTGTATCAGCAGTGTAGGTTAGTTGTCATTTACTTCAAGTTCAAGTGAACACCAGTGATTTCCAACACATTGTCCTGACTCGGGTTATGTAAGTGTGTCATGGAAATACAGTGTTGAGGTCGGTACCTAAAAAAAGTAATGTATTACACATTACTTGTTCCTTTTCTTGAAAGTAATCCAGTAGCATTCTTAAAGTTGGGTGGATAAAGTGATTCATAACACTCTTTATGTGACTTTCTCATTACTCTGCAAAATGAACTGAAAGGCTTTGTCACATAATTACCAGTTAAAAACATAAACCTTAGCTACAGTCCCACACACCACCACAAATCCCTATCTACAGGACACACATAGAACATAAAGCCAAAAACACAAAGCAAAGATGAAAGAGATTTCAAAGCAATTGCTGCCATACCGACACTCTTCTACTTCGAGCCACTGAAGTTTTGAGTGCAGCACATTAGGATCAGTTGTAACTTATCGCACAATAGCAAATATACATAGAAAAATGTGTGACTGAAACACACACCCTTAGTAATTTAATCTAACAGTATTTTTGCTGACTGAATGGTACGACAATAACTAACTATGAGTAGCATGCGATTAGATGTGCATCTGACTAGTTTTAAGTTGTTGCTATAAATACTCCAAAAATATGTATACATTGTTGTGCTCACACTCATAGTAGGTATAAAAGATAAATGCACTGCTTGGGGAATTCACGCTATGAAGCCTCAAGCCCAGCATTTTGCAGTAAAAATCCTCATATTAAAAAAAACTGATGTGACAAGTGAACTGTGAACCAAGGGGACTCTGCATGCTCATTGGCTGACGACTTCTGTTTGACAAATCATTAGCCAGTTAGCATACTCTAGAAAATTACTCTAATAACAACCATAATTTAACTTCACGTACTGTTTAGTATGACCTAAAATTAGCAACTCATCTTATAAAGCCATCACAGAGTATTTACTGAGGTGATACGTGAAGGAGGCCGGGATTATTATCCCATAGATTTCTGTACAGCTGATTGTTTGAAACCAAGACTCACCCCCTGCTGGCCAATAAGTAGAATGCTGGTAGAATCCTACATTCATCTACTGACAGTGATCAAACCTGTTTGATTTTTCCAGTACAGATGACAACATTTTGATTTTTCTGTTATTTCAAGTAAAGAAAAGGCTACCAAACTGGCCTACTGTTGCCATTTATGCCTATATATGCTAAATCAAAACATGTAGAATTCTTTTCCAAGATAAGGTAAGATAAAGATTCCTTTGTTGCCGCTGTACATAGACATTGTACACTTCAGCTGGCATTTACTCGCCAGCTGAGGTTTGACATAGCAGCAGGTTGAAGGCTGAATTGCATGTGATTGTGGATTGTGTTCCAGTGTATCAAGTAGTAGTATTAAGTCACAGAAAACAAACATAAAAATTACATAAATATTGGTTCTCCTAAACTGGAAGAACTTTCACAGATCGTGATGGACTCACAGACATTTTCATCTTGACAAATGAAGAATCGGTTTGTTCGGCTCATCTGATAAATTTCAGAAACCCCGGAAACCCTTTGTAGACTGGTAAAACTTAACTATGACTAACACGTTCCACTATTTAAATGTTTTATATATACCTGACGTTCTTAGACAACTAACTACCTGAGTAATTCATCTCTACAGATTAACTACCGTCTACATCTGCTGGTTTGTTTAAATGTCACTTTTGTTTTGATGTGTTTTGTATTTTTTGACAATTATTGAAAAGAATTAAATAAAAAGAAGACTACTGCTCTCACCTTAACATCATGTTTATGTACTCCACAGTGAAAATGATGGATGCTTGTTTTGCCTTTAATTGAAACAAAATGTGTTTGGCGGCTGAATTTTAAGTTACTAATAAACTGTTCTCATTGAAATATGATCATAGGAACAGAAAGTTTTATTACAGCCTTATTCAAAGAGGCTGTTTGTTTGACATTTTATGACAATCTTATAAACATATGTGATCAAAATTAGACTGGAGACTAACTGATGTCACTGGAGCCTTTTCACATTTTGTTGATTTTTATCAGTACCTAAGGAACAAAAAGACTCTTGAACCAGTAAACAAAATATGAAATGGCTGTAAGGAAGTCAGATTGTCAAAGTATAACCTTTAGTTGAATTATTGTCTTATTTCCCATCACCTAATCTTGCATGTTTTCATGTGAATCATTTGGTTAATCTTTGCGATCAATCATTTCTCAAAGTAGAATCCACCCTAACAGATCAAAATGTAAGCAAAATATAGATTTTTGCCTTTTCTTCCTCTCTCTCTCGCTCTGTCCTGAAGTGGAAACTTTGAAAGCAAAAAACTACACTTTTATTTTTCAGACTCACTTTTGTTTTGTCCTTTTCCCCCCTACCTAATAATGTTATACCATGATGTAAACAAATTGCTGTGAGTTGTGGTTAATCTCTGTGTTACAAAATGTGCCCTTTTTCCTGAACTGCTGATTAAGGCTGTGAAGTAAAATGAAGGGGAGGGGCTGAGCCCAGCAAGACGCCAGAAGGCAGAGCCTCATTTCAATGAAGTCACTGGTGTTGCTTGCTTTATCTCTCTGGCGTGGTGAGTGAAATCTGCTTCTGTCTTGCACAGCTAGCTGAGGATCTGATAAGAAAGCACCACGGAGTTGTTGGTTACCACAGAGGCAGCATGCGGAGGATGCTTTGGGGGATTTTGTAAGTTTTTTAAAGGTTAGTTTTCAGATAAGAAAAAACTACTTTCTTATTTTGAAAATGCTGCCCAGGCTTCTTTCACTTGTAGGTAAGTTTCTTGCTCTGGACTGGAAATACAGGCGATAAAACGAGTTGCTTCACTTGTCTTGATGTGCGTTTGGACTTCACAATGAATAATCAAACCACAGGGAGGACCATGGTCCCCACCATTCCGTCCATTATGTTCATTTTCGGGGTGGTTGGAAACCTCATCGCCATCGTGGTCCTTTGTAAATCTCGGAAAGAACAGAAAGAAACTACGTTTTACACGCTGGTGTGTGGCCTGGCGATCACGGACCTGCTTGGCACGCTGCTGGCCAGTCCGGTCACCATCGCCATTTATGTGAAAGGCGCGTGGCCCGGAGAGGACCCGCTGTGCCAGTACTTTGGATTCACCATGCTTTTCTTCTCGCTGGCAGGGCTCAGCATCATATGTGCCATGTCGGTAGAGAGATACATTGCTATAAACCATGCCTATTTCTACAACGACTACGTGGACCAAAAACTGGCGGGACTGACTCTAGTAGCGATCTACATCTCAAATGCTTTTTTCTGCGCCCTGCCAATTATGGGCTTTGGGCAGGTGAAGAAACAGTACCCACAAACGTGGTGTTTTTTAGAGTGGAGGAGCAACAAGACCAGCGATGCCGCCTACTCCTACATGTATGCTGGTTTCAGCTCTCTTCTTATTCTCGCCACTGTCATCTGTAATGTGTTGGTGTGTGTGGCTTTGATACGGATGCATCGACGCTTTGTGCGTAGGATGTCGCTTGGCACCGATGTGGGACGCAGCGTGGACCCGCGAAGAAGAGCACGCAGCTTTGGTCGTCTGGCCGGTGCAGAGATTCAGATGGTTATTCTACTCATAGGCACATCGGTAGTAGTCCTCATCTGCTCTATACCACTTGTTGTAAGTTTTATTTTATTTTTTTCGGTTGCATGTTACCATTACGCACGCTTTACGCATGGTTCTTTTTCACACAAAAATGTTTTTTAAGTGCAGAAAACTGTTTAGTTAGGTTAAAAAAAATGTGAAAAAGAAAAAATATCTGTAGTGAATAAACTTTTCCTTTTACCTTTTCAGCCACAACACTTACAGTCCAGATTAATCACACTTACTCAGCACAGCTGCTGTATGCAGGATTATGTAAAAGTGTAAAACAGTTTACATTAGAAGTGAACTGACTCTCTTCCCTTTCATGTTTATATTAGTGGCCTCTCAAACATACGCATCCATATCTTTTCATTCAGTCACTATTCTCCTCTCCCCTGCAGGCTCAGGTGTTTTTAAACCAGCTTTATAAGACTCCAGTGGAGGTGCGGCTGGACAAAAACCCTGATCTACGGGCAATACGTTTTGCCTCTTTTAACCCTATCTTTGACCCCTGGATCTACATCCTGCTCCGCAAGGCTGTTCTCATCAAGCTCATTGAGAAAATCAAGTGCCTGTTCTGTAAAATGGGAGCAAGGAGGCAACAGAGACAGGGAAACTTCCCCTGTATTGATGCCTATCAGCTCTCCTCTGTGATCTCTAACAGGGACTCTAACTCCTTGGTGTCTAGTGACCAACGAGATAGCAACAGCACCTGTCAAACCTTCCTCTACTATAAAGATAAAACTGAGATGTGCACTGAAAAATGTCCTAAGTCAAACAAACTCTCTGCTTCACAACCACCTTCAGCAAGAAATTCACAAGCTTCTTACTCATCCCAAGAGGGCAGCGCTGAGGATCAGACCAGAGACGAGACAAATGCAATCACAGATCATCCATCATCTACATGCCCTAAAGATCCAGCACTTCAGGTCACGCTGAACACCGAGACAGTAAAGGAGAAATGCATCTGACCCAACCAGAGAAATACCGTTTTATTTCTCTACAACAGACCTTTTGAAGAACTCAAAAATGGAAGTAGCACATAAATAATAAGTAACTCTTCTATCTAGTAGAGCCCATGTAGTGGGAAAGAGATAAGTGCTGTGAGTGATATCGTCTCGTTGTTTGTTTCAGCACCCAGCAATCTCTGTGATGACTGATTGTGTGAGCAGATTTTGCCATTTTGCCTAAGAAAGATGCTATGGTAAATGGTCTGTATTTGTATAGCGCTTTACTTGGTCCTTACACAATCATATACCCATTCACACACATGGGTGTGTTAGCTGTGGGCACGGACAGAGGCGAGGCTGCCGGACACTGGCGCAACCAGGCCCTCTGACCACCACCAGTAGGCAACGGGTGAGGTGTCTTGCCCAAGGACACAACAACACAACGACCGAGACTGTCAGAGCCGGGGCTCGAACCGGCAACCTTCCGATTGCAAGACAAATGCCCAACTCTTGAGCCACGGTCGCCCCTATATATGTTCGCGCGATCGCCCCTATGTTAGACACATAACATTGATGAAAAACTTATCATTCTCAATTTCATTTACTTTGTTCAACCATTGTGGAAACCTTTACTGTAAAGCTCTATTTACTGTCTCCAAACTGTGCTGACTACAAGCTTGTGGTCAGTGTAGTAAATGAAATAGTCCTGATTGTGCTTTTTGTGAGTAGTCACTATGAGTATTCACATAGTTATTGTTAGGACTGATTCATTTGGAAACTACTGTACAGTGAGTTTTGAAGGGCACAGTCATGTTAGCTCCATGACTAATGTAGAGTAGAGTTTATAAGGTTGTGAACACAGACGTTTTTGTTCTATAGCCCGGAAAACACACAAAGATATTGTCTCAAATTATTAAAAAAACAAAACAAAACACAGCGAGGGCACAGAGGCTCTTGTTCCACAGTAGACTGGGAAAATTCTGCATAATTTCCACAGCTACAGAAAATGTTCTATAAATCAGTGGATAGATGCTGATTAATGAGATGCATTAAGCGGTCAGCTTGAGAAGAATCAAGTTCTAAATGAGCGATCTTGTGTAAATATTTTTTTTGTGATATATATAGCTATTCTTCTCTAAGAGAAGGTTAAAATGAATAAATTCCAGCTCCAAAAGGATTACTCGTCCAAAAGACATATTTATGCGCAGTTATAAATTGTATCAGTCATGCAGTTTGATCAGTATTTACACTCACAAATTGTTGTCTTTCAACATCACTATCTATAAAGTCAGGACTCAAAATATCAAAGAACCTATTGAAAAATGTTCTGTATTAGTTAGGACTGAAGCTAAAGGTTAATTTTAGGAGTAACACTTCTCTTTGAGTGTAATGTTTAAAGTGAGATGTTCAGTTTTGCAGGAAACCAAAGTTTTTGTTGTCAAAGACATGCTGTTTACAGTGAAACAAAATCAGGAAAAGTCTGATGATGCTCACATTTAAAAAGATGGTACGAGCACCTTTTTCCTCCTTGAAAATCACCAGATACCACCCAATATCAGATCTAATATGAATTATCCAAGATCACAAGTCTAGATTTAAATATTATTCTCAAGTTTCATGTGAGTATACAGCGTAATCCTCCTCTCTGTTGCGTTTATAAAGCAAATTCTCCATTTTAATATTAAAAGTTAAACTTTCTGGTATTCTAACACTATACAGACTGAACTTTTGAACTCCTGCTGGTTTGAAGTTTTTCACTCAGATTTTCTTTTTGTCTGAGTTTGAACATGAACATTGTAAACATTGTACAGTGAGGGCAAAAGTTAGGGATTGACATACTAGTTGAAAACTTTTAATTTATTTTGAGTCATTAAATTATGCACTTTATGCTCAGTTGTGGTTCATATTGTATTGCAGAGTGAAATTTGTGTACATGCATATACTGTATGAGCTTTGAATTTATTTGCTGTGGTAATATATTATATCTGTAAATATGACTTGATGTACAAGAAAAAAACTGAGTGGAAATGACTGAGAACTCCTGTCTGATAAGAAATATATATGTCTACATTTATGATGCAGTTGTAAATGAACACTAACTGTTTCAGAGCAAACATCGCCTTTGACATGTTGTCATATTTTATTACCATAAAGCAGAACTGCTTAATACGAGCTTTCTTTCTCACAGTCACATTTTCCTTGTTTATATTTAGTGAGACCATCTCATGACCCCCATTAATTCAGACAAATGACCCTGAGAAAAGCGTGCTACCACTTTCCCGACGTTTATAGATAAATAAACACAAATGCGATTATTGCTAGTCTACAACAATCTTACTGAATCTTGATTGTGTGAAAGACACACACACACACACACACACACACACACACACACACACACACACACACACACACACACAATAAGGAGGTCTTTGCTCTGATGGAAAAGAAAAATCAGGGGTCTCTGGAAGTAGAGGTGCCCCAGAGCACTTCTCTCCTGAAACAATAAACACAATTGAAAGCTCCAGTTCACCGCAATTAAGCTTAAACAAGCATTGCAGTGGCTTAAGCAAACACCGGAGTGTGAGAGGATCCTCCAGACTCTGGGAACAAGACGCGTTAATTTAATTAAACTGTGAAAATCAGGATTGTACCATAGCGGGAGATGGTGATACGTGGAACATTCATGAAGATTCTCAGTAATTTGATCATCTTTGTTCACCAGAGTCTGCAATACCCAATTAAATGTATTAATGGAAAAGCAACAAGATTGATATCTACCATCTGGGTGAACAGGTGCACAAGCACAGCCTGCACAAATGTTCAGGATTGCTTCAATAACCCCAAACAGGCAAACAAGTAAGTGGTGACGTCTTGATGCATTCTCAATCATCCAGATCAAGTAAATCTCCAAAACTTGATTCTGTTCATCTGGACGTTTTCAGTGGGAGAAACGTTTCGTCACTCATCCAAGTGACTTCTTCAGTCTCAGCTGACTGCAGGTTTCCCCAATCGGTCATTATGGAAGTGTACTGTTTATAAGACAGAATCAAATTTTGGAGAAGTAAGTGGTGAGACCATTTAAATTTCAGCTGTGAAAGAATATCTCTGTGATGCTCAGAGAATTTGATCTCATGTGATGCACAACTTGACATGTTGTGTAAGTGGCAAAGCTGTGATGCTGCTTTATGTCAGCGGGGTCCTCTAGTGACAGTCTGCACACTGTCACCTCTGTGCTCATTGATAAACAACAGAAAGCACCTGTTGCTCAACAGTGTCTGCTATCGCCCTCGGTTAAGGAGGAAATTAAACAAGACGAGTCTGAAAATATGTCAGAGCCAAAGCGGAGCTGAAGCAGGTCTTAGTGCAGGCGCTTCATCCCTCGGGTGATGGTGAAAAGAGAAATTAAATGTAATTCAAAGGGAAAATATGATCCTCTGTAGTGTGTTTGGAGCCATTCCTTTCACATCAGTGTGACGACCATCCTTTCTCCATGTGACATCAGTGAAGCCACACAAGCTAAGTGCTAATCTCCTCTTTTGTTACAGCAATTACATTTTTTAAATAAAGTTAAACATACAAATGCAAATAGATTAAACAAACAAATGGTATAAAAAAATTAAAATATGCTATTGTAAAACAATATTTTGATGAGGTAAAAATTAACCCGACATCAAAATATGGACAATAAAATAAAAGACATACAAATTGAAACACAGACATAAAGTTACAATATAATATACAACAATTAAAATATTTTAATTTCCACATAATTTTAAATGGCTTACTAAAAAAAATACAAAAATATATTTTAACAAAGTACTGCGGTCTGCATTACCTTAGGCTATAGCCCAATGTCAGCTCCTATATAACTCTGAGACCCAAAGGGGTCTCAGAGTTATATAGGAATTTCTTGAATGTAAATTTGTTTGTCTAACGATTGCTTGTTTACATTTTATTTATTTTATGCTGAGAGCACCACAACCAGAATCTGTTATGATGCCGATCATTTGCAGGCTGTATTATAATATCTAAGTTAATAAGAACAGCTGACGCAAAAATTTCCCCATTGTGGGATCAATAAAGTCTTATCTTATCTCTTATCTTTGATGTGGAAATTGAAAGACATACTGGAGGTGTTGGATCATCAGTCCAAAATTATTAGCAACTGAAAGCAACTTGACAACTTTCAGTCTTCAGAATTTTTTGTGTCAGTTTTGATTGAGTAGGTTTTTAGCTTTGGTTAGCTAATACTACAACACAACATTTTAAATTCATACCTCTGGCTGGGATCATGATTGTGGGGTTTACTGCCTGCAATGTCAAAAATAAAGGGCCTGATCTTTTCGAGTGGTAGCAAAAATCTCAGAGCTAATCAGTAAATGTTCTGCAAAACGTTTGCACGTGCATACCTAAAGATGATGATATTTTATTTGACATCAGTTAACTGACTTCCAGCTAAAGCCTTGTTTTTCATACTTGAGACATGCTTTTTCATGCTTATAAGTGAAAATAAAAAAATACTTTAGTACTTAGATGACCACCTAGATTTCTTTCTTTTTCCCCCCCAAATTCTGATTATTATTGTCACATTTCATTCCATAGAAGACGATAGTGTGAACAGCTCCAGGGCAGAAATTCGTTAGGATTGGGCTCCAGACTGTGTTAAATCCCACACAAATATACAGAATGCAGGGCAACTTATTTCAAAGTTTTTTAAAACAGAATTATGTACAACAGCAAGTTCCCATGAAACCAGCAACTAGTAACTTTGATCTCTGCTGTTATACAAGCAAATAGGAAAAACTTAACCACATGAGGTGACCTGTTAGGCAACAGACAGTGGAAAAAAACAACACAGTATGTCCTCCAACATATTTCTAAATCAGTTTTGTTTTTACATGGGAAATGAAATACTTCAACAAAATAAAAGTCTTACTGCAGTTACTTATCTGAATACAATAAATGTTGCTGGGAAACGTTTTACACAGTAGACAAAAGTGTGGAGTAACAATGAAAGTGTTACACCATGTGTTACTGTTGCTCCTCTGTGTCTGTGTGTTAGTGTGTGTGTGTGTGTGTGTGTGTGTGTGTGTGTGTGTGTGTGTGTGTGTGTGTGTGTGTGTGTGTGTGTGTGTGTGTATGCCATGTTTGCATATCTTTGTGGGGACTAACAGCCTTTATGGGGACAAAATATCCGTCCCCACGGGCTTGAAAGCATTTTTGAGGCTACATCCACACTAATGCATTTTGTTTTGGCCTCCCGTCCACACTGAGACGGCATTTTCACTCAAGGAAAACGCAGCGTTTTGAAAACGCTCTCGAGGACGCATACATTTGAAAACAGTGCTTTCGCCTGGCAGTGTGGACAGCGAAAACTGAGACTTTTTGAAAACGATGACACATTTTAGTCATGTGATGCAGTCAAGTGACCAATTAAACTAAGATAGCGGAGCAGTAGTTTTGTTTGCTCTCAATTTTGACAGCCCTATTAAAGATTAATATCAGTTTATACATGCTCCAGATAGCTTTTCTTCAAATTCTGTAATTCTCACTCGCTTTTGCGACTTTGTACTTTTGTGTCACTCCATCTCATTGTTAGTTCATTTAAAAAAAACCTGTGCTTTTCCTTGCCATTTTGCTGCACGTTTCAAAGAGCAAAGTAAATAAACAGCAGACAGAAATGAGGCAGGTCGAATCAACTTCAGGCATGCGCAGGACTGGAACGTTTCAATGTGGAAGCACAACTTTGTGAAAACGACTGATAAACAATAGTGAGGACGCGGAGCGTTTTCAGACGAAAACACAGTTTTCAAATCTATCCGGGCTAGTGTGGACGTAGCCTGAGACTCAAAATGTGGTTTAAGTGCCAGGATTACAATTAGGCCGTGATTAGGTTTAGGCTAAGGGTTAGGGTACGGCATTCTGTTTTGATGGTTAGGGTTAGGGTAAGTGGCTAGGGAAAGCATTATATCAATTAGATGTCCCCATAAAGATATGAAAACACGACTGTGCATGTGTGTGTGTTTGTGTGTAGTCCCCAGAGTCACATTTATCAAAGAACAGTAGGTCATTCCTGCAAGTTTAGAGTTCACAGAGTCAGTAATTTCCAAATGTGCATTTCAGATGAGTCACAGACCACCCAAGATTTGCTTTATTGCTTGCGCAAACTTCATATTATTAAGGAAATTCGCTAAAGCAGGTCAAATGTAATAATAGCAGTTAAAATAAGTGAGTCACCGACACTTGTAGGGTTGTTTATCTGACAAAAAAGTGTTGGTTTTTTTGGTAATTACAGCATGTCAAGATAGACATTCGCTTACTCAGGGCACATACTCCTAGTACCAAACCTCCACATCCTCTCCATGATGTGCCTGACAGTCACAGGAGCATGGTCACCAAAAGACCCATTTAAGCCATCAGACAACTTAGCAATAAGTAATAAGGTACAGTGAACCCGGCATTAACAGGGGATTCATACTTCTAAGTTAAATCTATACCATAATTACATCATATTCACAGACCCCTCTTGATACAGCCTTAACCTATTAGGATGTTCAGTACTATTGTGTATTTCCAGCTACTTCGTCACCACAGTTTTAGAATTTATCAGTGACAGATGTCACCAAATTCCTGGAAGGATATTGCCAAGTACAAAGAGGTGAAAAAAACTAAAGAGACAAATATGTTTGCCTCAAAAAAAGGGGGGAGCTAGAGAGAGAAAAGATTAATCCCAGGAGGGAAAAAATGCCAAAAACATCACACAAAAACATGAATGCTGGTAACAATGTTGTAACAGTGTTGACCAGTTACATGGGTTATGTCATAGGCACTACAACATTCACCACAGAAGTGTAAATAAGCCATAAAGACGGCAGGAAGAGAACAAAGACAGGAAGTAAAAATACAACATGAAGAAATAACATTCACAACAAAACAGGAAGGAGTAAAAAGAACATGGAACTGTCATCCTGATTTATCAACACTACATTTATTAATGAATAACTTCAAACAGGTAGTCATTTATTAAATTTGAAACTTAAAAAGGGAAACAACAGAAACCAGCCCAGTAGTCCAAACATAAAGATTGTAAAATCTTTGCCATGGCCAGTAAAAACCTTCAAACTCTTAAAATAGCACCACATCACTGAGAAATGATTTATTAAGACAAAATTAAGTGTCTATATTTATATGTGGTTTAACCCAAAAAAATGCAATACTAGATTCTCGGCTCACCGCTTCAGGTCATCAGGGAGGTGCTCCAACAGAAAGTCACATGTTCACATACTGGAAGCTAGCAGTGCTTCCCAACTCTCACCGTTGTTTCTGCCAACTCTGGGGCCTCA